ACACTCCTACACATCTTACATGGTAACATTTATACCATGTAATATCTAATATGTGATAATGACTTAATATTAACGTACTTTATATGAGCAAGTCATTCGATATGAATATTGATATCATGATAAATATACTCTTTGAGCAAGTGTTTTTATGGACAAGTTGATGATGTGTGTAGAAGCACAGGCTTCACTTCTTCCGTAAGCATATTGAAGTATAGCAAATATCCAAAGTGTAATTGAATCCTAAAACTTTTAAAAGTTGAGTATTTCTGTCAATTTGAAGGCCAAGTTTTTAATTGCAAACACTCGGAAGAAAAGTAACAATTTAGGGATAAAGTGTACCGGAAGTCTTAAAATTTATCATCAAAGTACAATTAAATTCTAAAACTTTCAAAAAGTACAATCAAGTCCTAAAACTTGTCAAATTAGTGCAATCAAGTCATTTCGTTAACTCTATCCAACATAACTAACGGAAAATGCTGACGTGGCTTTTTAAAATTATTTTCTCTCTTATATGTGGTGCTGACATGGCTAAAACATTAAACAGAAGACTAAAACGACACAATTTTGGTTCAAATATTATTTTTTAACCCAAATTTTATTTAAATTAGATTAAAAAATAAGCTTAATTTAAAAAAAAAAAAACCGCAAAAATCGTCGGAAAGGGCTAGTGATGGTGGAGCAATTGTCGGCGGGGGTCAATGGGTCCCGGCAAGTGGTTTATTCTTGTATTGCCTTTTGAGGAAGACGATGGGCGAGAACACTTAGTCTTTCTCTCTCTGAAAGAACATTTTTATATACAAAGTAAAATGAGTTATTTTAGGTTTATCCCGGAGTGAATTTTTCTTTCTTTTTTTTTTTTGGTTAAGATTGGGGGCGAATCCTTTCTTGAAATATCTTTAGTAAACGATTTTCGGCGCAAGAAATTAGATTAATCCAGTTGTTTGTTTATGATAACCTCTCATCAAGTTATCATTCCTCGGAAATGCCATTTTAGAGTAATTTTTGCATTTTGCTTTTCAAGTGAGAAAAGTCGTGGTACATACATATTTTGCTGGTTTTGTTTTTCTATTCAGCTTATTGAATTTTGAAATAGTTACCAGCAAATTTGTGTTGCATAAGAATAAAAATGGCAATTGACCCAAAAAACAGAAAATGGAGAGAAAAAATTATTGTGGTTATTAGTCTTGGACATGCAGGCGCTTCGATAGACCAAGGAATAGGGTACCTGTGGATATTGAGAGCCCTTATTCTCACACGTATCTCGTCCGTTGATGTCGTAGACCGGTGCCTCCCCATCACATCATCATCCATCGTTCGTTCTCAAATAGTTTCTCCGCACAAAAGGGTGATCTACTGTTTGACATTGCAATTGCGAAACCCAATGATGTGACAGATTAAACGCAATAACCGTCACACGATGAAGGTTTTGACAATGAGAAAGTAAGGCCCTTTCTCGTAAAGCTAAGCTTACTTTTCTATGGACCAGCAAATTATGTATTGCAGTAAGGATTCCTGCCTTGTGGGGTATTGGTACGTTGAATTAAGATCTTAAACTATTTACCTGAGATGATAAGATAGCCTCTCGAAAATTAACCGGTCGATAGAATTATACGAGAGCATTGTCTTGCTCTTAGTAGTATATTTACAGGGAAAATTATCAAAAAAGTCATAAATCTATTGCACTTGTGCCAATTTAATCCTAAATATTTTTAATTATGGCAATTTAATCTTAAACCTTTTTACAATTTGCTAACTAAGAACATTTAGCCAATTTTGGCCGGAAATCGCCAATGTGGACGCTTGTCGTTATACGTGACACGACTGGTATTGACGTAGATAATATAAAAAATATATATTTTTTCCGAATTATTTTATTTATATATTCTTTTCTTTTTCTTTTCTTCTCTTTTCCTCCTCATTTTTTACTTTCGCCGTGGCCGGCAAGGGTCTCGAAACCCTCGCCCGGCCTCGCCTAGATCTAGGCGACACCAACCTCGCCATGGCCTCACCAGCCGCGAACAAAGGCAGCCTCGCCCGCAGCTGGCAAAGCCATAACCCCCTTCGTCTCGGGCCGCCTCGCCATGGCCACGATGGCCTCACTTAGAGATCTGGGCAAGGGCTTTACGGTCCTCGCTCAATGGCCGGCAAGGTCTTGTGACCCTCGCTGGTCACAGTTGAAAAAATAAAAATAAAAAAAGAAAAGAAGGAAAAGAGAAGAAAAGAAAAAAGAAAAAAATTAATAAAAAATTCGAAAAAATAATAAAACATTAAAAAACGGTCTATGTCAGCCCGGCCATGCCACATTGGATGGCTAGTATATACGTCAGTGATTTCCAGCCAAAATTGGCCGGATGGACTCAATTGACAAAATACGAAAAGTTTTAGAACTAAGTTGGCACAATTGAAAGGTTTAGGACTTTGTAACAAAAAAGGATTAGAAATAAATTGGTACAAATGTAATAAATTTAGGATTTTTTTTTTATAATTTTCTCTATATTTTGATAATTGAATCCATCTGAAATTGATAGGGACGAAGATGGCTTCTTTGGAAAATGTTGAACAAAATGCTATATATACTTTTATTACACTCTCCCGCTATAGTGCAAGTACCATGAGGAATGACCATCCCCATTAAACACGGATAAAGTGAAAACAAGATGACAGAAAGGTACAAGCATCCCACACCCACAACACATTTCCAAGCAAAGAATGATTGACGAACATTGTTAGTTTGAGGGAAGAAAAAGGGTAGGCTCTTATGAATTCACAAGGAAAGTATGATGATCAATTCAGTCCTAAATCTTTTAATTATGTTAATTTATTCTTAAACATTTTAATTTTACCAATATAGTCCTAAAACGTTTGATGAATTGCCAATTTAGTCATAAACCTTTTAACGATTTGCCAATTTAATTCTTCCGATCAATCTTAATCGGAAATCGCTGACATAGCAGTCTAGTCAACACCGGCCATCCTACACGACATGGTCGGCTAGGATGTGGACAACTTTTTCAATTTTTCAATTTTTTTCCTTTTCTTTTCTCTTTGTTTTTATTCCTTTTTCCCTTTTACCCACTCCCGGCCATCGCCGAGCCTCGTTGATGGCCCTCGCCTAAGGCCGGCGACCTCCACCGGCAATTGACTAGGCTCGACAATGGCCGATGGAGGAAAAAAGAAAAAAGAAAAGAAAAGAAAAAGAAAAGAGAAAAAATCATAATATTAAAAAATTACAAAAATTGTCCACATCAGTACCGGCTGTGCCATGTAGGACAGCCGATACTCACTAGACTGTCATTCGGTCAAAATTGGTTGGAATGACTAAATTGACAAATCGTTAAAAGGTTTGGACTAAGTTAACACAATTTAAATATTTAGAACTAAATTGGCAAGCTGTTAAAAAGTTTAAGACTAAACTGGTTTAAGGACTTAATTGACCACTGCACAATAGATTTAGAACTTTTTTGAAAATTTTCCTTGAATTCACTATACCATTGTTTTAACTTCTTACTACGTTAGAAATATGAGATTTTTGCAAGACTCGCTTACAATTTGAATCTTCGAGTCCGATCTTTAGCAAAATCCCAATTTTGATTGGCTTATTAATTATTTAACGTATCGAATATCTACCCTTTCAATTTGTTCTTTGGACTATTTTTGGTGGAGTGGCAGGATATAAATTAAGCCCGATACTTATGGTCGGCTATTAACTTTGATCAATGATATCAATATTCCAAACTTGCTATTTAAGGAATAAAAAGGACAACCAAAAGATCAAGGCAAGGTATAAGCATCCCAAAATAATTCCCATTATTGAGGACAAGTGTGTTTGGTAATGTTTGATGAATTGTTAATTTAGTTCTAAACCTTTTAACGATTTGCTAATTTAATTCTTCCGACCAATCTTAATCGGAAATCGCTGACGTGGTAGTCTATTCAACACCGGCCATCGTTGGACGTGAACAATTTTTTCAATTTTTTCCTTTTCTTTTCTCTTTCTTTTTTTCCCTTTTTCCCTTTTACCCACTCCTGGCCATTGTCGAGCCTCGTCGATGGCCGGCGAGGGTGGCCCTCGCCTGAGGCTAGCAACTTCCACCGGCCATTGACTAGGCCCAACGATGGCCGAAGGAGGGACAAAGAAAAAAGAAAAGAAAAAGAAAAAGAAAAAGAAAGAGAAAGAGAAAGAGAAAGAGAAAAAATCATAATATTAAAAAATTGCAAAAATTATCCACGTCAACGCCGGCTATGCCATGTAGGACGGCTGATGCTCACTAGATTGTCACTCGGCCAAAATTGGCCGAAATGACTAAATTAGTAAATCATTAAAAGGTTTAGGACTAAATTGACACAATTAAAATGTTTAGAACCAAATTTGCAAGCTGTCAAAAGGTTTAGGACTAAATCGATTTTAGGACCTAATTGACCGCCATACAATAAGTTTAGAATTTTTTTGACAATTTTCCCTGAATTCAATATACCACTGTTTCAACTTTTCACTACATCAAATTTGAGATTTTTGCAGGACTCGATTACAATTTGAATCTTCGAGTCCAAGCTTTAGCAAAATCCCAATTTTGATTGGCTTATTAATTTTTTAACGAATCAAATGTCTACACTTTCAATTTGTTCTTTGGACTATATGCGTTGGACTGGCAGGATATAAATCAAGCCCGATACCTTTATGTTCGGCTATTAACTATGATCCTTGATATCAATATTCCAAACTTGCAATTTAAGGAATAGAAAGATCGACCAAAAGATCAAAGCAAGGTATAAGTATCCCAAAACAATTCCCATTATTGAGACGTAATCTGTCGCAAATTTGCAAAAAAAATCCGTCGCAAATTTGCGACGGAAAAAAAATCCGTCACAAATTTGCGACGGAAAAAAAAATCCGTCACAATTTGCTACGCAAAAAAAAAATCCGTCCCAAGCTCCCCGCCAATCTCTCAAATCTGCCCGCCTTAACCCCAATTTTTCTCTCTCTCTCTCTGCTACTCCTCATATCCCCCCCTCTTCCGCCAAATACCTCTCCGTCGCTCCCTCCTCCCCTCCGCCAGCCATGATGGCCTCCGTCACCGCCACCGCCGCCGTCGCCTCCTCCTCCGTCGCCATACGCTCGTTCCGCGCCCACAAGCCCTCCCTCGCCCCAGATCTGGACGAGGTCGGCCGCCGCTCGACCTCGTGCAGATCTGGGCGAGGTCGAGCGGCCCCGCCCATGGCTGCTCGACCTCGCCGTCGCCCAGATCTGGGCGACGGCGACGGCGATGGCGAGCGGCGGCCATGGGCGAGGCCGGGATCCGGTGCTTCGTCGCCGAGGGCCTCGCGATCTCCCAACCGAGGGCCGCCGGCGGGGGACTGGTTGATTGCGTGGTGGTCGGGGGCGGGATCAGCGGGCTCTGCATTGCCCAGGCGCTCACCACGAAGCACCGCGACAAGGCCCCTGACGTGGTCGTCACCGAGGCCAGGGACCGCGTCGGTGACGACCACGTCGTCAGATTTCCGTCCCTTCATCCCGTTATTTTCCACTGAATGCATCTTCAGATGTACTTCTTCTCCAGGTATTACAAACTACAGAACACTCTCCAATCTGCATTTTGTACTTGATATGAAGGCTATGTTACTCTAATGTTCATATGCAGTTGGATCTATATACCGCATCCAATGGAGTTCTAATTAGAAATGCTGCCAGAACTAATCCCAAAGATCCTTCTATCGAGTTGGGACCTGAATTTGATAAGGTGAAGGTTACTTTAGTTGTGTATTCTTATTCCGCCTATTACGAATATTAATGTCATGTTTCATTATATCTGCCTTTTTCAGTTGGGAAGTTTTGTGAGCCGCTTCGAGTCTATTCCCAGTATAGTTGAGTTGGATAGCTTGAAAGTCACTGGTGATGTGTAGTTTGGAAATGGCATTAAGCTCAAGGTATAGACATTGCGCTTGGCATTTGTTTTTATATACTTTGTCCGATTATTGAGGATCTACTACAAATTTATGGGACCTACAGTAAAACCCATCAGACCACCGGTTAAATTGTGAAGATTTGATTACTCTGTTGAGTCCATCTATAGAGTATGAGTTGCAAGTAAATCTATGTTTAGTTAAAGATGCAGTGTTTGCAATTTAATTTAGATCTAGGCTATCTTGCAGACTCCGCTCTCTATAGAATTTATTCTGTCGCATGTGTTAAAGTACTTTTAGATGTAATTTGTAGTCAATCATTACAGAGAATATACTGTGAACTTAGACATATCAGGATGGACATATTTTGTCTAAAATGTTATGTGAAGTAATCATTTAGTACAGATGGCGATTGTCATAACCATTTCGTGTTGTTGATCTCATTTCAGTAGCAATGGATTTTCACTTATGTACTTTGAAGGGTTCACGGTAAAGGGATTGGGATTACAAGGTATGAAATACCTGGATGTCCTTTTATAATATATCTATGTATCTTTAGTACCTTGGTCTCCCCTGATTATGTTGGAGAGTGTGGTTTTGGTTTTGAGGAATTAACTTAAACATATCGAGAACCTGTAGTAGCAGATTGAACCTAAGCTATTCTACATTGTTTTGGCATGATACTTAGTATTCTTGTTTGAAATAACAGGAGGAAGGATGTTGTATCTTTCTTGGGTAAGTAGGCCAATGAAGAGATGGTCAATGCAATGCACGTTCTGCTTTTGTATCTATGAAGTGCTCCAGATGATGAAAAACCTTTGGTTGCCATACTTATGCTGCACTTTGATCTACTGGTATACTTTCTTGACTATTCATTTTGTAGTTTTTGGGATTTTATTGGATTTTGAATTTGATATTTGTAACTTCTCTTCTTGCCCATTTTTGAGTTGCATCTGTAAGATATGCCTCGGTGAGTATGACGAAATTTTATGGTGATTAACTTGGTATTGGAATTTGAAGATGCAGTGTGAATTTGCAGATTTAATGAAGCCTACTCTTATTTTTTGGTTATCTATTCCAGAAAATTATGGCTAAGATAACACTTTGGTGCAAGTAGAACCTCGGAAGTACAGCATATACAGTGAAGAGGCTGTTGATGCAATTTCTGCATAAGTTATGCAAATGAGAGGTTGCAACAACATTTCAACTGGCATTTGTTAAAACTAGAGCAGGAAGTGAGCATCACACATGGACCGTATCTTTAGTAGTTTTGTTTAGCATTTATATGATGGGGATTGTCGCTAAAAGCCGGATATTCTTTTTTGACTCATTTCTGTCGTCATTATTTATTGTGCAAGATTAGTTATTGTGCAAGATTATTTATTCTCTCATTATGTGTACTATAAAGAAAAATATTTATGTCATTCTTGTGGAAAATGTAGATGAATGTATTTCATTTTCATATTATTATAATATTTTGATGTTATTAAGTGCTTAATCAATGTTAAATATAAATTTCAGAAATTAATTTTGCTTTTAATTAAGTTTAAAATCGAAAAATAAAATAAATGATTTTATCGTACGATCACAAATTATAAAAGTTCGTTACAAAAATAAAATTTCGTCGCTAATTTCGTCCCTAAACGATATTCGTCAGCAGAGTTTGTCGCTAAAGAATTAATAAAAATCATTGCTAAATTTGTTCATGAATAATGTTCATGGCAAAAATCAAAATTTTTCGTGACAAATTTGCGACGAAAGTTCGTCGCAAATTACAAAAAAAAAAAAATTCGCGCCAAATTAGCAACAAATTTTGCAACGGAAAAATAAATCCGTCGCAATTTTTGTGACGGAAAATTTTTGCGACGAAATTTGCGACGAATTTTGCGACGAACTTTGCGACGATTTATTTGCGACGAATTTTTTTTCCGTCGCAAAAATTTGCGACGACCTAGTAGCGACGAAATTTTTTCCGTCGTTAAATTCGTCGCAAAATCGATTTGCGACGGATTTTTGCAATTTTTTCGTCGCAAAATTCGTCGCAAAAAACATGTTTTTTTGTAGTGAGTGTTTGATTGTGCTTTGCAGTGTCTTATCCGCGAAGAAAAAGATAAAGTATAGCCGAACAACATCACATGAGAAAGAGTGATGGCCAAAATAAATAAATAATTACTTTCCTTTTTATTCACATGAAATACTCGCCTGTGTAAGGAAGAATTGATACTTGACTGTGGACATGATTTCGTTTATCCAATTAATTAATATAAGTTTTCTCATGTTATATGTATCTGATATATCTTTCTGATCAACGTTACTTATATATGGGCTATTGCCCAGGCAAAATATTAAATTCTTAAAGTGAGTGGCATTTGATCAAAATAATAAATTCTTAATGGACCATATTTTGTTATATCTGCAACTCCTAGTCCGATGGTAAAGACCAAATTGATTATCTTCACCTAAAAGAGCAAAAGTAAGGAATATTGAGATGGACAGCAAAATTGTTATATCATGTGGATACGATAGATTTCACAAGCAAAGAATTTTGCGTGAAGCCCTTTATCATAATCGTTCTCAGAGATACTTTCTCCCGTCTCACGGTCAAAAACCGCACAAGCAAAGTATTAAACAAAGCTTGTCGTGGACAGGAGAGACCATACCCAAAAAAGCGTAGAAAAACGAATTATATGCATAGCGAGAGAACGATATGTCCTAAAAAATTAATTCAATCCAAAGCAAATACGCCCACATACACACACACGACCTTGCTCGAAACAAACATATTGCTCAGCCATGGCTGTTTCCGACACGAGAAGCTACAGGATGGCCGCCGAAGCCGCCGTCGAGATTGTGTCGCAGAAAGTAGAGATCTTGCTCTCTTACGCGGTTCGAGTTGGGTGCTTATCCATGGAAACCCAAGGGAAGGCTGCCAAGGAGAAGCTGGCCATGATCCAAAAGTTCTTTTCCACTCAAGACGGACCGTCCAACAGTACGGAGTGGCTGGGGCGGCTCCTCCGAGCTATGTACGATGCTGAGGAATTCATCGATAAGTTCCATCTCAGAGACGCCTGCAGGAGGCACAAGGCCCTGCATATGGCCACGAGGCCACTCGCCACGCTCGTCTCAAAGTACATGCTGTGTAGGGACTTGTCTAATCTGGTGAAGGCCATGAAGGAGATGTGTCAAGATCAGTACTTGAGGAGCAAGGAGGAGACCGAGGGCGTGAGGAAAGGGAAACCTACTAGTTCCTCCTCCCATGCTAGTGATCCCCGGCAAGGCAAAAAATTGGGGAGGCTGACTACTTTCTGGGATCAGCAAGCATCGACGAGCACCGTATGGCGTGCGGATGAGAAAAAGAAAATTATGAAACGGATGGAGAAGATTGAGAAACCTGGGGGCATCCGTGTGATTTCGATTTTGGGCGAGCAAGGCACCGGCAAGACGTTCCTCGCGAGATCTGTCTACAAGGAAGCGATGTACCTGGGCTTCGATCCGCGCGCTTGGGTCCACGTCTCGGCCAGCATGGACATGCGGGAGTTCCTGTTCGAGATACTGAAGCAAGTGGACAAGCTAGTGGGGGACATGAGGGACATGGGTTTGTACCAGATTACGGATAAACTATACAAGCAATTGGCCACGACGAAGTTCCTCATAGTGTTGGATGACGTGCACCCGTCCAACGAGCGACTCTTGCAAAGGTTAGTGATGAGCATCCCGCTTCCCACAGAGGGCTGCAGAATTGCCACGGCTCGAGACAATGGCATAGCCGAGATGATAAGTCCAGACATTAAACCAATCGTGCTAGAAGACTTAGGCTGTGGAGAAATCCAGGATATGCTCGCTAAGAAGTTGCATAGAGTACCCGATGCTAAGAGCCTCAAGAATGAGGAGAAGATTATCATAGAGAGATGTCAGGGCTTGCCACTTTGTATATCCTTACTCGGTGGGTTACTGTCGAATGCTGCAGAGCATGAACGCACAACGTTGCTGAAAGATGGTTCTAGGATGACATTATTTAATATTCTTGAATTGAGTTACCATAGATTGCCAGACCATCTAAAACCGTGTTTCATCTACATGGCTTTGTTCCCTGTAGCATCCCCGATCCCGACGAAAAGGCTAGTGAGGCTGTGGTTGGCTGAGGGCTTATTGGATTTGCATTGTTACAACAGAGAAGGGAAAACAACGAGGCCGGCTGAGGATGTGGGAGAGACGTTCATTCTGGAGCTTGCAGATAGGAATGTGATCGATGTGGTGGGCTGGAGGGCAGATGGATCACCCAAAGCTTGCCAAATGCTCACCTCTCTATATGACATGATCCGCCTCATAGCGATGAGCACTGGGTTCCTCCACATACATGCCGCTAGCAAGTCGAAAGACAGGAACAACCGCGACCCAACCGGCCAGCAACAACAGCTGCTGACCCAAACGCGAGAGAGAGCCAGGGTCCGGTGGCTCACAGAGCACATGAGCGTAGTCACAGACGGCAGCAGGGGCAGCTACCCTGATTTGAACCTCGACCACGTCCGCTCGTTTCTGTCATTCTACCCGAGGAGAGGCATTCTCACCAAGGACATCAGCAAGTTCCTTAGGAAGCTGACATCCAAGACTGTAGCTTGCTAAGGGTGCTTGACTTGGAGGGTGTGTATAAGCCATCCTTGCAAGGTGTTCTACACAAGCTAGTGCTCCTAAGGTACCTAGGATTGAGATCCACGGTGTTGGACTCAATCCCACGCGAGGTTGCGGATCTGCCCTATCTCGAGACTCTTGACATAAAGCACACCAACATCACTTCACTGCCGAGTTCCTTGTGGAAGGCCAGGAACTTGAGGCACCTGCATCTCAACTGGTTCTCCGTCGAATTGAAGAAGATCCTCAAGGCTTGTAGCAACGATGTCATGGCCTTGACTCAACTCCAAACCTTAAGTGGGCTGGTTATCGGTGAGGTCAACGAAAACTTGATGAGGGACCATACGGACAGCTTGACCACGCTCACCACGCTCAAGCTTTTCTTGCAACGCTCGGATCTGGACACGTCAGGCGCTGCTGGAAAAGCAGTAGCCGATTGGATTAGCTTCAGGCTCACCCATCTCCAGTCCTTGACCTTTGGAGTGATCCAAGAAGCCGAGCCCGCAAAAGAAGACGAGCCCCCGAAAGAAACCAAGCCCGTGACATCGCATATAGGCCCGTTACCGAAACTGTTGTTGGCTGAACAACATCACAACCTGTTCAAGCTCTACTTGCTGGGCCAACTCAACAAACCCATCTGGACAGAGCTCTTGCCTGGCTCACTTAGGGTATTGACTCTGTCGGGTTCGAAGGTGGATATAGACATGATGCCCGAGTTGGGTGGTCTCCTGAGGAACCTAAGGACTCTCAGGCTCTTGGCCAATTCTTTTGTAGGCACTAGTCTGAGGTTCATCAAAGATGGGTTTCCGAGCCTCATGATCTTGAAGATTTGGAGGCTGCCTTGGCTTGAGAAGGTGATTATTGAACAAGGAGCAATGCAACATCTCAAAGAACTCGAGTGTAGGTTCCTCGATAGGATGAAAGATGTTGAAGGGATCAAAGAGTGTAAGGCATTGGAGACTATATGTGTGGTACTCAAAAAGGATGCTCATGGTTTTGTTGACAGTCTCAACAAGGGAAAAGGTCAGATGACGAACACTACAAAAAAACATGTTTTTTCCGACGAATTTTTTCAATAATAAGTTGTCGCAAATTTTTCCAACGAAAAATTTCAATTTTCGTTGGAAATTTGCGATAAATTTTTTTTTCGTTGGAAAACTCGTGGCTAAATTCGTTGGAAACGAATTTTTTTTTCCGACTAATTTTTTTCGTTGGAAATTACAAATGTTTTTTTGGTCGAGTTAAAAATCGTGGAAATTTTTTTTCCATCGAAAAAGAATTTTTTTTTGGTCGAATTTTTTTTTTTTATCAAAAAATAGCCCTTGCCGCCGGCGAGGGCCAGCCTCGTCGCCGGCGAGGGCCGATCTCGCCCAGATCTGGGCGAGCTCGAGCTCGCCGGCCATGGCGAGCTCGGCCCTCGCCATGGCCGGCGAGGGCCCGCCTCGTCGCCGGCGAGGGCAAGCCTCGTCGTCAGCGAGGGCCGAGCTTGCCCGGATCCGGGCGAGCTCGAGCTCGCCGGCCATGGCGAGCTCGGCCTCGCCATGGCCAAAGATGAAGAAGAAGCAAAGAAGAGCAGCAGCAGCAGGGCGGGAGCAGCCGGGCCGCCGCCCGTCAAGTCCGTCGTCGCCTCCTAGCCTCGCCGGCGACGAGGCTTGGTGGCGTCGGGCGCGGGCCGTCTGGGGCGTCGGAGGCTTGAGGCTTGGTGTCCATGGCGCGGAGCCGGAGGAGGAGGGGGGGCGGCGGGGGAGGAGGCGGAGGGGGAGGCGGAGGGGGAGACGGAGGGAGAAGGTGAAGGCGAAGGAGAGAGA